ACAGATGAAATTCAGTGTTGATAAATTCAAAGTAATGCACATTGGAAAACATAATCCCAACTATACATATAAAAAGATGAGTGATAACAGCTTATTTAGACCCCAAGACCGAGATCTTGGAGTCATCGTGGAGAGTTCTCTGAAATCATCCACTCAATGTGCAGCGGAGTCAAAAAAGCAAACAGAATGTTGGGAATCATTAAGAAAGGGATAGATAATAAGACAGAAAATATCATATTTCCTCTATATAAATCCATGGTACGTCCATATCTTGAATACTGCGTGCAGATGTGGTTGCCCCATCTCAGAAAAGATATATTGGAATTGGAAAAGGTTCAGAAAAGGACAACAAAAATTATTAGGGGTATGGAACAGCTGCCATATGAGGAGAGATTAATAAAACTGGGACTTTCCAGCTTGGAAAAAAGACAACTAAGCGGGAATATGATAGAGGTCTATAAAATCATGATTGGTGTGGAGAAAGTAGATAAGGAAGTGTTGTTTACTCATAACACAAGAACGAGGGGTCACCAAATGAAATTAATAGGCAGCAGGTTTAAAACAAAAGGAAGTATTTTTTCACACAACACACAGTCAACCTGTGGAACACCTTGCCAGAGGATATTCTGAAGGCCAAGACTATAACAGGGTTCAAAAAAGAACTAGATAAATTCCTGGAGGATAGGTCCGTCAGTGGCTAATAGCCAGAAGGGGAAGGGATGGGGTCCCTAGCCTCTGTTTGCCAAAAGCTGGGAATGAGCGACAGGGGATGAATCACTTGATTACCTGCTCTGTTCATTCCCCCGGGACACCAGCCATTGGCCACTGTCGGAAGACCAGACACTGGGCTAGATGGACCTTTGGTCTGACCCAGTCTGGCCGTTCTTATGTTCTTAATAAATTAAATTAAATTAAAATTGTTGGGACACAGGGTCCAGTGCAGCGGTTGCAGGCTCTGTCTTGGGGAAGGCTTGGGGGCATGTTCTCTGAGCTGGCTGGCTGCTCCTGAGGGTTTGTGCTCTGTTTCTGTGTAGGTTGCATGTTGAATGGCCAGGAGGTGAAGCTCACAGTCCATTATGAAAATGGATTCACTCTCTCCAGGGAGGAGGCAGGCTCCAGTCGCACCCTGTTCCTCTACCCCTTTGAGAAGCTTAGAGTGTCTGCAGATGATGGCATCAGGAACCTCTACTTGGATTTTGGTGGCCCAGAGGGGGAGCTGGTGAGAATGGGGCTGGGGATGCGCCGTGATGCTGTATTTTGTGGGGTGGGAAGGATTCGGGTTTGTCCATTGCCAAACTACTGTGTGACTTGAGTTAATTTCAGGTGCTCAAAACCTGTCTCAGCTGTCTCCCATCCCACCCTCTGTGCCCTCACCTCCATGAGCTGAACTCTTTCAGGGCCTGAGAGCTGCCCTGGGAGACTCCACTCTCACAAGGCTCGGTACCATTGGGCCAAACAATCCCTGTCTGCTCAGACATACCAGGAGAGCCAGTCCTTCCCACACCATGCTGGTGGCTGATCCCGAATCATTGCCGTGCGACACGTCACTCCCAGATCCCAAGGGGCAGGTGGATTGAGAGGCTGTTGCTTGTTGAAGCCAGACTGAGCCGTGCGGCCTCTATGGTGATTATAGGCCCTCGGTGCTTTGGGCCCAGCTTTTCCAACACCTTTGGAATTGGGGGGGGTGAGATTGGCGGTCCCCAGGGGGAAAGCCCAGCTCAGGATCTGCTCTTCCCTGCAGTGTGAGAAGCTCTTTGTAACCATTGGGCTCTGTGGGTGAGTGGGAGCTGAACACCTGTCTTGGGGTGGCTTGTTTGCAATCTGTACAGTGACACTTCTGCTCCAAGTCGAGCCCTGTGCTATATGTGGGACTGACGGCGTCTCTTGTGCTTTCTCTCCAGACCCTGGACCTGCACTCCTGTCCCAAACCCATTGTTTTTGTGTTGCACACTTTCTTGTCAGCCAAAGTCACCCGTATGGGACTGCTTGTGTAAGATGTGAAGGATCCCAACAGCTCCGAACAACACATCTACTGTCCCAGCAGCACAAAAGACCCTAGTTTGTGGTGACCTCCTGCAGTACCAGTGCCTTGACAAAGACTGACTCATGCCAGAACCATGACAGTGTGGAAGGAAGCTCCTGCCCTCCTCAGAGCCCTAGCCAGAAACTCCAGCCTCTCCACAATCCCCTGGAATAACTGCTCCACCTGCCTAGAAAGTCCTGAGGCCAGGCTGCTGCTGGTAGCTGAAGCGGTTCTCACATTCTCCCTTTCCAGCCACTGCCTGGCTGCTGGCCATTTCAGACACTCTTCTTCCTGACGCCTCTGGGATTCGATTGTCGCCCTGAAGACTCGACGTAAAGCCGAGCATCCGGCACTCTTCTGTTGCAAGAAGAGCCGTTGGCATGGGGCTGTGAGGGGGGAGCTGGTTAGGGCAGGAACTGTAATCAATCCGTATGACGTCATTTTTATTGCTTACCAACTGTGCCTTTGGCGTAAGGTGGGTGGGGCTTTACTGGAGCTGGGGATGAGGAGACTGGGAGTTCAGCGCTGGTCGCTCTGGACAAGCATTCCATGAGCCCCCGCCCCCGGCTCGTTCCAAGCTGCCTGGCCTCCCCTGGGAGAAGTGAACTGTTGCAAAGATGGACTTGCGGCTGTGCGGCAGCTCTCATGGCGTCATGTAGGCGAGGCTGAGTTTGCTGAGGATTCCTCTTGGAGGGAGGGGGACTCTTCTGGGAGCTGGTGAATCCTGCCTCTTCCTTTTGCAGTCGATAAATATTAGGGGAGGGTACGCAGTACACCCTTCACTGTGGCTTCTGACCCTAGTCACAGAGTCAGAGGAGGGGTCTCTGAACGACTGACCCGGCTCCCTCTGTTGCCACAAAGCCACCTTCCCAGGGATCCTTGGTAAGGAAGCGGCCTGTCCTCCTCACTAGCCAGTGGGATGGGTAGTCAGGGAGATTTCAGTCACTTTTCTGACTTGCTTTGGGCACCTGGAAACATCCTAAATACAGAGCACTTGGTGCTTTTTGCTGATGCTTCTTACCGAGGCCCCCGATGGTCAAATGCGACAGGACAGATGCCACATGGCTGGAGCGGAGGCACCGAAAGGCCAGGTGGTTGTGTGCTCCGAGATGAGCTGGAATGCGAAAAGCAGCTGATGCCCTATGGTGATGCACACAGCCTCTGGGCCTGGCAACTTCCTTCTGAGACCCTAGCAGCACCCTCTTCTTCCCTAGTGCTGGGCTGCCTGTCTCCCTCAGCCTGTGCTAGGCCCCTGGGCCCAGGTGTGCGTGCTGCAGGGCGGTGGGGGACAGGGAGACAAGGTGGGGGAGATAGTATCTCTTTTATTGGACCTCCTTCTGTCGGTGAGGGGGACCAGATTTCAAGCCCCACAGAGCTGTGCGCATGCTGGCACAGCCTGTCCCATTCCTAAAGAAGGTTTTCTGAACATCTGCAGGGCTGAGGGGGGGGGGGCAGGGAAATTGCAGTGCTTCCTTCACTCTGGGGGCAGAATTTGCACACAGGGCTGTTGGAAGCCCCCTCCAGCGCATCACTGACCTCTTCCCAACAGGACTCAGGGCACCTGGCAATGCAGCCTGGCTCAAAACTCTTGAGAAACAGATTTCACTGCGTAACCCAGATCTTCAGCAGGGCCGGCACCCTCCAGCTCTCTTCCTAGATTCCTGGTCTCTCTCATGCTTGGGAAGAGCTGTACCTGGGACACCCAGAGATGGGGGGCAGGGACTCCAGGAGCCCCACTGCGCGCACACATCAGGTGGCTTGGACAGTCCTTTGAGGCTCTGCTTGCTTCCTTGGAGCCTCTAGCGCCCACTGTTGTGAGTGTTTGATTCCCAGTGTACGTTGCTCAGGATTAACTCCTGGGATTCAGCTTCTCAAGTTACCAGTGTACTGAGCTTTCCGAGACTGGCTAGAGCCTTGTGGGACACGTACTCCATCTGCAGACCAGTACGGTAGCCCATTAGTGGCACAGATCGACAGCTTGATGTAACTAGACTTAGGGTGAGAATTCACAGCACAAAACGTTTGACGGTGAACCTAAGAGCATGCCGCCTCGAGCCTGGCCTTCCCCAGAACAGGCTCGCAGTGTGTGAAGAAGCGATTCTGGAGGGCACACGTCCTTTAAGTGAGGTATGAAGCCCAGATTGTCCTGCCAGCGCAGCAGCCTGCTGAAACCCTAGGGAGGGAGTGTTCTTCACAGGCCCCTCACAACTACGTGGCCTATGCCCGATGCCTAGCAGCTCATTTCCAAACACTGGTTTAGCAACCAGCAAAAGCCAATCAATTGAAACGTGTTTGTTTAAACAACAAATCATGCTAGGTTATAACATACTTAGAATAGTGTCTTAGCTGATTGGGGTTTATGAAGTGAATATAAAGTTAATATAAAGTGAGTTCCATCACAGTACTGATTTGGATAGGTTTGTGTTCGCCCAACAGACTGTTATCTGGTCTGTGGACCAATTGGAAGAGTTGTCATTTCCACGCAAGGCTGTTAAGCTCTTCAGTCTATTTTAGCTGCTCTTAAAGTGGATATTTTAGCTCTAGTATGGTTGGGGTTTGTGCCACCAGTCCAGCGAGTGCTGGAAACCACAGCGTCTGCATGGTGAAAAATCTACTGCAGGGAGAGTAGACTTGTTCTAAGCCTCAGTTCTTAGACAACCCGTAAAGAAATACTCTTAACGCCACAGGGTGATTAAGCTGTTACCATGTTAGACTATTTTCTTATCTAAATGTCCGTTTTCTTTCATTTGCAGCTTCACCACATTGGTGGCTGTAAAGCACTGGAATATTTTTACAGTTAGAGGCTAGGCCAGTTTGGTCTCTTACCAAAAGCCACATGTCAACTTAAATTAGAATTCTGGACAAGGTCCCTCCTTCTCCCAGGAAAACGTGGCTTGCTAGGAACCAGGTTTACGAGGGTAAAGATGGGGTCCATCAGCAGGGGAATAGTCACCCCTGTTGTACTGGAAGTGTGAGTAGTGTCAGTATATCACATAAAATGGGACAGTCTCTCCCCCCCACCCCCATTATTCCTTCATTCTGCAAACTACCTAATAAGCTGCTATGCAAATTGTTGTGCCCTGGCTGGTTTCAAGGGGTTAGATATCCCTGAGGATTTCAGGGAACAACTTGTAGACTTAAGCACTTTCTCTGCTTTTTTATTTTGCTCTGACACTTAAGGTTGAGTGGTTGCTATGTTAAGTTCTGGTGGTGGTCACTGATTGTCAGTACTGCCCCGGATCTGTGCAAAACTTCAGTGTAAATGCCTTGCTGTCAGGGGGGTGAACTCTTCCCAAATCACCTGTCACTAGCAAAGCTCTGGTTGAGGTGGCAACTGAAATGTCAAGAGTAGACGCCAAATCGAATTGCACATGATGGACGTTTGGCTTAACAGGAGGTTATTTTAACTCATTTCGATTGGATTTGGATTTCTGTGGGAGGTAGGGGAGTACTTAGTACTGCCTTGTCATAACCGCCCACTACAAGCTGAGCTGGCACCCCTTGTGCACGGCCAGCTGGAATGAAGTACAGTATGGTCTGTCTTCCCCTTTGCATCAGACGTGGTATAGTTAATGTGCAGAAAGGCTCACGCTACCAGCCTGAAACTGTCTCCCAACCGACCCAGGTTCCTTCCCAGGCTTCGCTGTGTTAGGAATTACATTCTGTCCTGTTTAAGCAATCACTTTTGAGCCTTTTGCCACAAAGCCTGAATTCGATCCTGACTTGCTTCACCAGTGAAGCCCCTGAGATCTCAGCCTAGTCCGCAGAGAACCTGTGTCCAAACCAGACCAATCTTCTCATTCGCGTGAGCATCCGTGTTCACTGATTGGAGGCTCAGGTCTGTTGCGGATCAGAGGTACTTGGGGAAACTTGCCAGTTTGCACTCTGCCTAGTTCTCCCCAGGGCTGTCTTCCATTCATGCCAAATATCTGCCCTGTTACAGAATGCTGCATGCTCTCCTGGAACGCTGCGAGCCATCGCTTACTCTGGAAGCTCGGGTCCTCTTAGCTTTTAAGGTTTTTAATGTTGGTATTAAAAGCCTGTTCTGCAGGCTGAATTTCTGATGCTCAGGCCCCCACTGTGTCCCAGCTCCTCCCCAGAAGTGTTGAGGTACCAGATTTATCTGCAGTACATACACTATGTGCCTCACCTGGCCTCGTTTGTTTCTGGTGGCAGCAGGCGCCCCCCTTCCCAGAGGCTGTGTAGAGACATGAGGAAATGTACAAACTCCTGGGAGCTTGCTCTGTCTTCCCTGTAAGTGGGGGAAAGGGCTGCGAGAGACTGCTCCTGCCCCCTCCCACATCTATGCAAACCTCGGGATTTTGAGTGAGGCGATATGTTGGAAAGCTAGAAAATGCCCCATGTGGCGCTCCGGCTCGGCAGCTGGAGAGCTGTTACAGCATTCCATGTGGAAGATACACCACTGAGAGGCATCCCAGGTTATCCTTGGAAACCAGAGGGAGGAGAGGAGAATATCTATGCTGAGCTTGTGTTTTCTGTCCAGAATAAGAGCAGGCAAGTGTCTTAAATATGGGGGGGGGGGTAATTAAACTAGTGAATGGTGTTTACAAAACCTTACATAAGCTGCGTAGATTTTAAAAGCTATCTAGTCAATCAATTCCTCCTACCAACTCCTCTTCAAACAGCACTTGTGGGATCGACTCCCAGAGTTAATACTCTGCAAAATCTTTGCAGATTCTTGTGCTTTCCCCAATACAACATTTCTATGCCTGTGGCTAATTCCCACAACTGAAAGCAGACATGGCACGCATGGCTTCATTTGTAACGAAAGAGGTGCCCGGGCTCAAGCAATTTTTTTACTTTCCTAACTGACACGCCAAGCCCAAAGGTGCCGGGGCTGAGCCTGGCGGAAATGAAGCACTGCTTGCATGTAGAAACCAGGCTACACTTTTCTTTAAAAGGAGGCCAGTAGCCTCTTCGCGTTAGATAATCAGCAATAAAGAAAATGGATGTGAGACTAGTAAAGGCAAATGCGTCTTTGGCTGTGAATCCCACTCCTGGTGTGCATGTGCTTCGTGGGAGCCATGTGGCCAGAGCAGCCTGAAGCACCATGGTTGCCGTAAGGCTAAGTAACCGTTCTCTACAGCCAGCCCACCTCTGCCTTTGGCCTTTATGCTGCCAGGATTTTGCTACATGAGTTAATTCTGTTTCTGCTGCTGATCTTGCAGCCTCCTGGCCTGCAATACAGTACATCAAAACCTTGATTGCACTTTCATGTTCTAGAATTTGGGGGAACTACAGGGCTAGTTCTGCCTGGTTTTAAAAATAAATTCATTTGCAGTGACATCTCTTCTCTGCTGAAGAAAATTAAAAAAAAAAATCCCCTTGGCACATCAATGTTTGTGGTGCTCCATTTTCCTTTTAGCATATCTGCCTGTCTGGGATCAGCCAGTGTAGGGGATCTCACTACAGTGAATCAGTGATAAGTTTACAATTTGGGTCAATAGAGCATTACAAGCCGCAGGTGCTAGAGACAAGAACCCTGTAGGTATAACTGACCCCAGGTCATCTGAAGAATAACTTGCACCGAACCACTACAAATAAACTGTTTTTTAACCTGTGCAAACTCTATGCTGTTTGATATGATATAATCAAGGCACAGACTGTAACACTCCCATGAAAAAAATAAATAAGATGCAATCAATTCTATTTTTGTATTCTTTGTAGTTCACTATTTATACAATTCTTCCTTTTTTGAGGTTTTTAATCTCTAGCTTTTGGAACTTCCAGGTTACCAAATCCAAATAACCCAAGTGGTGACAAGCAGGGGAGTTTGTGTATTTCACAATCACATTAAAGCTTTATGTGTACTCTATAAATATAGATGCATAGACAACCTATTGTCCCTTGAGTTGCATGTTAACTGTATAGTATTGTACATTACAATGAAAATGTAACTGAAGGGCAAGTATAACCTTTATACTGTAAATAACAATAAAGGCTTTTATGCTTTTAGATTGTTTTTTCTCTGTGGAAATGTTTTGTCTGGGGTAGGAGATGCAATAACTTTTGCCATTCAAGATGGAAAACATTACTCCCTGCCCTCCTTGGCCAGAAGCTTAGGGGAGCAAACAAAAAATAACCAAAACCCCCAGTGGTGCAGCACCCTGGAAGCTGGCAGCCAGGGAGACCACCTGATCCTAGAACAGGAGAGACTCTGCTTTTCCTGCCACACACGGTTCTGTGTTGGAGGGGAGGGGACTTGGCAGAACCCGAGGACAACAGTGGATCTGTGGTGTTCATGCCCCATTGAGATTCATGAGGCGGTTCACCCAGGGCCGGCTCCAGCGTTTCTGCCGCCCCAAGCAAAAATTGCGGCAGCAATGGGGGGGGGGGGGAAAGCAGTGATTGGCGGCGGCAGTTCAGCGGCAGGTCCTTCGCTCCTAGCGGGAGTGAGGGACCTGCCGCCCCCGAATTGCTGCAGGTGCCGCCCCTCTCCCTTGGCCTCCCCAAGCACCTGCTTGTTAAGCTGGTGCCTGGAGCCAGCCCTGGGTTCACCTATATGAGCCATCAGCTCTCTGCAGGCTCAAAGAACTGTCCCTGCATCAGTTACATCAAGCTTTTCTTTGACCCAATGAGGGCAAGAGAGTGTGGTGAGTTTTTGTTTTTTGTTAAAGCTGAAATTCCCACATAAGCACATGATTGGAGGAGCTGGGATCCTAGGTATTGGCCTACAGAACCTATGCCTTAAAGCAGCCCTGGATGAATGGGGCTGCATTGATAGGCCCGGGGCCCAATAAGCATCTATTTGTTGCTGTGATGTACTGGAGGGAAAATATCTCACCCAGACAATGCCGTATTCAGAAAAGTGTTACGGTTTAAGAATGGAACGGTCTGCCTACTCTGGAAAGGCAGGGGTGACAGACAATCACACGGGACCAGGCAAGCCTCAACCACTGAAAGGCGGGGCACTTCTATCTCTGGAAAAGGAAAGGTAAGGCACTGTAGTGTCCATTAACTCTACATGGTTATTAAAGCGCCAGCCCTGAGTGAAATGGATGTATGCATTCTAGGGGGCAAATGCCAAAGATGGGGGTAGCACGGCCCATTAGAAGGGGCTCCTGGTTTAAGGCAGATGGTGATGAGGTAACAATGCCACTTTAGAAACAGGAGTGCAAAGCCCAGGATTCTGTGTGCCAGCTGGAGGCAGGTAACCTTTCTCACCCCCACCCCAACCAGCGATCTGCCAAGGAAAAACACTGGCTGAGACCTCTTCTCCAGAAAGCAACAGAGGCCTGTGGTAAGGTGCCATAGGACTCTGTCGCTTTTTACAGATCCAGACTAACACGGCTACCCCTCCGATACGTTTCTCCAGAGAGGATGCTGTCTCCTCACGTGCAGGGTACCAGAGGAAGCTGTAACAAACCCGCTGGCTGCAGCCAGCCAACCAGCCGAATGCAAGTCACATCTCCAGCCTCAATGTATGAGCTGTGAGGGAGACTAGCCCCTGGAACAAATGCCCCCGGGCAGTAGCGCATTCTCCAGCTCCAGCCTCCTCCGGTCCAGCCTGGACAACTTTCTGGAGGAGGCTTTAGCCAGAGGCAAGTTCCTGGGCTCAGCACAGGGCTAACTGGGTGTGAACTTGAATAGCCCCTGTTCTGCAGGCGATCAGAGTCGAGGAGCTAATGGGCCCGTTAGAGTTAAGAAGGGGAGTCGGTAGGGGAAGGGGGGCTGTGTCTATCGCGGGGGGTCTCTATGCAGGGCTGGTGGACGAGGATGAGGGGGTCACAGGCACCTCTATAAAACAAAGCCCTGAAGAGCGTGACTGGCCCCTACTCGCTGGGGGTGGGGGGGGTT